CCCGGAAGACCCACACCAGCCATCGTATTCCGGCCGTGAAAGCCTTCGACAATACATAAAACTGTAATGAGTTTAGAAGAGGGCTACCAAGATAGTGATGGGTCTGAAAACAGTTAAAAGATCTAAGTATATTCAGCTTCTGACAGATAGGGCAGTCTTCAGGTATCTCAAGGGTTGTCATAGAAAAGAGGGAGTGGACTTGTTCTCTGTAGTCCTGGGCAGGCAGGACCAGAACCAATGAGCTGACATTATAGGGAAGTAGATATTAGGAGAAATTTTCTGACAGTAAGAACCTAACCAATGAAATAAGTTGCTTCATGAAGCGGTACAATCCCCTTCACTGGAGGTCTTTGAACAGGACCTAGATATATCTGAAATCAGGTCACTTCTAACTTTATAATGATATGAATATGTATGCTACAAAGTATGGCATACTGTATTTTTTTTTCAATTTCTCTGCTAAGAAAAAACTTTCTGTGAGATGCTGACAAGTTTGCAAATCTTTCCTCCTCGTAAGGCAGGACTTTTTTCCAGCTTTTTTGGGGGAGTGGGGGAGGAGAGGAAACATTCTGTTTTATGGTTTTTCCAATTCCAAAAAATCTAGGGCCTGCAGCTGTCCTTGCCTCAAAGGAGTCCAAGTGCTTCATGCTCACCACATGGTCCAAGTGCATATAAATAGTTTCTTGTTGAACGACCTTAAATGAATTTGCCCCCAAATAAAGAAGATGGGTAAGCTCACCATTTTTATTGCCTTAAAAGTGCCATTTTCAAGTTGATTTTCCCTTTCTGCCTGCTAGTGAGTGATCTCATTCCTTTTCGTAAGGCTAGAAAAGTGTTCTTACCAATGGAACGTAGAACCAAATGTTGCAGGGCAGGGTTTGGGGGCATCAGCCAGGCAACTATATTCTCTTTCCAGCCTATCCTATTTTATTTAAATTCCTTCATTTTTCCTCCTCCATCTCTGTTCTGTTAGCATTCTGGAGCACTAGCTGTGGTCACTTCTTTGAGGACCACCCTTTTAAGGGTTTTTTTTTTCTCCCCTAAAATTTATTTTTGGTATTTCTACAAATGTGTGGGTTTATTCATGCTGATCTCTTGATAAAATGATTTGATCTTAGAAATGTATAAGGCTGCCTGGCTCTACAATGAATCTGGGTGGCGTCCAGTAAAAACAATTGTGCAATACAATTAAAACAAAAAGCCACCCAAGTATCAGAAGAAAAGACAATCAAACATGCAGGATCTGCCACCCACTCTATCCCAAGGCATGGGGGAAAAGCCAGGTTTTCAGAGCTCTTTTGAACACAGCCAGGGTGGGGCCAGAGGTATCTCTTATTTGGGAGCCACCTTTGAAAACAGTCCTCAAATCTCAGTTCGAAAAAGACTAGACTGCTAGACTGGACTGGCCAATATGAGCATATTATGCCACTTATTTGCCATCTACGCTGGCTGCCATTCTGTTCCTGGACCCAATTCAAAATGTTTTTGGCCTACAAAACCCTGAATGGCTTAGGACCAGGTTATCTGAAGGATATGTACCTACCTGAGCCTTAAAACCATCTAATGAGGCCCTCCTCCAGGTTCCCTCATCAAAGGAGGTGGGGTGGGCCTCTACAAGGGGGAGAGCTTTTTCTGTGGTGGCACCCCATTTATTGAATTGCTTTTCCAGAGAGGCTCATCTGGCATCCCCCCTAGCACCATGTCAGTGCCAGGAGAAGATTTTTATTTTCCACTACTGCCTAATTTGTATGTTGTCTTTATTTTGTATTTCATTTGATTTTATTGGATGTTTTAACTCAAATTGTATTATTTCTTCTTTCTTTTTTGGTGTGTTTGGTGCAAACAACCCAGGCAGCTTTGGTTATTAGACAGTTTAAAAATTTAAAAATCAGTCTCAAGGATGGGATGGTATTCCAGAGGACAGATGCTACAACAGAGAAGGCACACTTCCTAAGTCCCATCAGGTAACACTGTTTAATGGATGGGACATGGAGCATGCCAATTCTGCCCGATTGTACAGTCCAGGAAGAAGCCACAGATGACAGATGGTCCTTTAGATAACCAGGCCCCATGCCATGGAGGATTTTAGAGGTAATAATCAGCACCTTGAATTGCACCTGAAAGCCTACTGAAAATCAGTGTAGTTAACCGAGCAAAGGTATTACATAACCTGTAATTGTTTGTACAATAGTCTATGCATCTAAGGGTGCAATTGGCACACAAGATGGATACGTTCTTAGCCACAGTTGCCACCTGTTCTTCAAACATTGCTGTGAGTCCATGTTAGACTTTCAAGGTAGTCCAGACAAGAAGCACAACTATGAATACTAGCTCTATCTTTATTGTCAGGTTACATTCACAGACTCTTGCAAGTCTGAAAGTATTCCTCCCCTCCTTTCCTTTTACTCTATAGAAAACTAGGGAGGATCCCTCCTGAAACACTTACCATGCTCCCTCTGCTTCTGTGGACTGAAATACCTTTTACATGATGGTTGTCTAGTCTGTGGCTCTTCTTCCTGCCTCCCAAGGTCATTCCCACATGCCATTACAGTCCAAGACAACCCCAAATTGTGCACTAGTCCCATTCAGATCTAAAGATAAAACATCCCCAGCCCTGAGGGATCCAAAAAACATGACTGCTCACCCTTGTCAGGGTTGAACCCTAGTCTATTCCTCCTTATCCAGTCCCCCACTGCCCCCAGACACTTGGACAAGACTTTAACAGCATTGCCTGTTTGGACTGGAGTTGAGATGTATAATTGGGTATCATCAGCATACTGGCAATTTCTGAACTGGATGATCTCACCCAGCGGTTTCATGTAGATCAGTGTTTCTCAACCTCAGCAATTCCAAGATGTGTGGGCTTCAACTCCCAGAATTCCCCAGCCAACATGGTGGCTGGGGGATTCTGGGAGTTGAAGTCACACATCCTAAAGTTGCTGAATTTGAGAAGCACTGATATAGATGTTAAACCAAAGGGGTGATCGTGTAGATTCTGAGGCACCCCATACCCCAGGAGTCTCAATCTCAATCACTCTCCTCCTATGAACACTGGACTTGAATACAGAGAAAGGAAGAGAACCAAATTGGTTTGTTTTGTGGAGATATCAAATGGAGACCAAGTTCACTCACTTACTGTATAGGAATCAACTTGGACCAAACCATTCCTTTTAATACCATCTCAAGAATTTCAACCAATACTGCTTTAGTTTGTGGCCTAGACAGGCAGACAGGCAAACTCTATCTTATTACATTTATATCCCATTTTCCTTCAAGAAGCATAAAGTAGAACACCTACAAGTCCTCCCTTACATTTTTTCCCCTCAGTGCATTCTGTAAGGTTGGTTGCTAGTGACATAATGACTGGCTTGCAGTTACCTTATAGCTGAATTCACACAACACACTTACCTTAGATACTGAATTAATCCATTTTCTGGGTTCACTCAATATATTCAGTCAAAACTAATCAAACAGCTTGGATTCACAGAATACACTAAGCTACACACACACACACAATACTCAGCAAAGTTAAAAGTTGATTGTGTTGTAAGAATGCAGCTACTAGGTCTTTCGCTGGCCTGAGAAGTGTATTGTATGAATTCAGCCACTGAGTTTCTTGATTAAGTGAAGGGTTCATCCTGGTTTCCCTACTCCCAGTTCAGCACTCCTACTGACTTTCCTAAAACTGACTCTTGTAACACAACTGATTCAGGCAACACATGTAAAGAGTGGAATGAAAAAGGACATCCTCTTGTGGCAACTTAAATAGATAAGCAGGTATGTTGATGACACAGCAGTGTGCATCTTTTCCACCACTGTTTTCATAGTGAATGACCATGAAAAACAAGAACCCCAGTGAGGTTACAACTGTAAAATATTACAATGAGACAGACAAAAAGTGGAGAGGCAGCAATAAAACACTTTGAGGAAGGTCCTGATAACCTCATTTAAAAGGGCCAGTAACTTGGATACAATGCATAGAGCTGGATAACTGGTTTCACAGGCAACATTAGAAAAAAGCGTTTAGTGAA